TAGAATGGCTTGAAACTAGTCGAGTTCCCAGTAAAACTGTAAACAATAAAAATTACTTTAGCATGTCCCACGAGAGTTGTAATACAATTTTCTAATTTGTAGATTAGTACACAGAATTATTAATAGATAGGTAATATTGTTAGTTCTGTATCTAAAGAATTGAACAATTCCGGGTTGTGTGGCACCGTGTGGCAGATCTATTTGTACCCCGTACTTCAGTTTCCTTTTAGGCAATTTTTCAAGCCAACGATACTTGTTTTCTTTGGTAATTTATGTTCAATACGAATTAGTGTTCGCTCTATAAAGCTTAAGTTGGGAAACTTTACTCTCACATTCTAATAGAACCTAGCATAACATCAAGCTCGTTATCCTAAATGGACTGGCAGTAGTATACGCCAACTTTTAGGTTATTGTGACAGGCGATGCGAACGAAATAGTACGTAATAACACTTTAGCTATATCAAAAAGATTATATTGAGTCTATTTAGCACATGTATAAAAGATACATTGTATGTAAAGACTACTTTAATTTATATATTCTTATTCATTACAATTGCTTATATTTTTGATTTTCAAATCAAAAAAATACTTTCGTCCTCTATAGTTCTTAAAACTATCTGTATCATGTTCAATCCAAGAGATAGAAATAACTCATTGAAAACAGTATTGATTACAATAACTTGTTATCACTTTTTCTTTGACGATAGAAAGTTATTATTCCTAAAAAAAAAACTGAAAAACAAAGTCATCATAATAATGACGAAATAATGCGTAAATTATTTGAACGAATTTAATTTCCGGCCAGTGTCAGAGCAGTCATTATTACGCCAAAGTAATTTATAACGTGGCTAACCTAGAAATAAGGAGGTGAAACAAGAACAGGGTGTTGTTTATCATTGTACCGGTGAACTAGAGGGTGTAATTAAAACTGTAGGATGCGTACTGAAGAGATACGATGAAGTAAGCTGTAGACAAGGTTCTTGAAAACGTTGGCTCCTTGCTTCTTAAATAAAAAATAAAGTCTAAAGTCAATTACTTAATGTAACACAAACATTGATATCAATAAATCGCGAAAGAATCACATTGTCTTGTGAGAAGAACGTATAAAACTGCTTTTCACAGTCTATTTTATCTTTATTTCAACAAGTATAAAACTACTCACACATACTTCTAGAAAATAATGTTAGTCTTAATGAGGCCATAGGACCTTTATTTATATCCGTTTCATACGACGCAAAGCAATTAGGCGCCGAGCAGCGAGGCGACGGCGAACAATTGTCACCTGGCTCAGACTACTCTCAGATATTAGCTAGCGCTGCTTCTTTATGGATCCCAGCGACCGACATCGAAGCAATCCACTGCGTATTTTACCGAAGCTCCAACGCTTTTGTCTTTAAACTTTTATATACACAATCTCCAACTAAAAGCGGTTCCCTCACCTGTACAGCTAGTTTTTCCAACATACATTCCTGAGTTGGCGATGCGCCATCTTCATGGCTCCATGGCCGCAGGTATTCGCATAGTTACGAAATGTGTGTCGTCCGCTCATTTATCAAACGGTGAACCTACCAACCTCCCTCGTTAGACAATAGGTACACATTAACTTTACAACTCTAAACGAGACCGAATTCAAGAATGTGGTGAAATTTTAACTCGATTTTTGGCTTCCCTTTAAGTCAAGTAAAAGTTCAAGTATTCAAGTATTTCCCATACGTGAAAATGAAGGGTGGAGTTTCCCGACACCCCGCCGTGTGGAGTACCCACGTGTCATTGTTCAACTTCCGTGAAATATGAGGGCTTGTCGTATACACTTTTATATTTAGATGTCTCACTGACATGCACCTTCTGCGAGGAGTGGCAACAATTTAATCAACTGGATTTTCTTTTTTTTAAACTGAATATACTTTTCGTTATTATTATTACAGTTAAAGACTTAATAATATTGGATCCATTATAACCGTTTACATCATTTTATAAAAATAAAACAAAAAAGATAATGTAGGTCTCTAACCTATGCACCATTTCTACATTAATATTTCAGTCTTGCCCATAAAGAAAATCTGCGTATGACGTGGGGTGTATGCCTGAAGACCTAAAACTCAGCTAGATTTATTCTAACGATGTGTTATAATAAAATCTTTCATATCATGCAATATTTATGTATGATAAAGATAGTTCATTTTATTACATAGTAAAAACAAAAGTATTTATTGGATTGTTCAAACATCAAATCGAATGGCAAAACTGTCAGCCTTTTATGATATTTGTGAGTACAGGACCAGTAACTACTGTCTTGCAGTAAATTAATAAAAGACATTACCTATTTGTAAATGCTTACATCCAACACATGTCTCTCATTTAGACCCAACTCATCAAATACTACTAAAGTTAGCCTGTTGTTAAGAACCTGCTAAAAAAATATTTTTCCTTCATAAGTTTTCAAGAAAAAAACCTACGTTAGATTAGTCGTAAGAATTCTAGGCTGTTGAAGACTAAAGTGTAATTTTCTTTAAATTATTTAAGCAGACATACGCCCATTTAGTTTCGAGGTACTAACAGCGGGGGGTGAAATTGTTGACAGGCAGCTGGAATGAATTATTGTTAGTCGTGGAACGACGACGCCGCAGACGTCGGCTCGTTACAGAGCCTCACACCTACCCCTCGACAAATTTGACGAAAACGCGAGTTACATCTAGAGACAAAATGTATTTCTACGTTATTAGTACACGCTTACTGCCAGTGTACAGAGGAAGGCAGAAGTTCTACATTTCTATTCAAAGGGTTCTAATTTGAAGATTACGTTAAACAAAAATGGTTGATTCAAAATGTTACATAAAACTTATGGATTGGTTTGGATAATTGAACGTGCTAATCTCCGAAATGACTAATCAGGATTTGATAAACCATTCTCTTACTGCTGTAACAAAACTGTTTTTCCATTCTACAACCTAATTTTTAAAACAACAAAACAATTGGTACATGTCTCACTCCACACCAAAGTTCGCACGCACGACTCACGTACGAAACAAATGAGAGACGACTGCCAACGAGTATTTGTTTGTCTCACAATATTGACTCCATTTGTACTAATTTCCTTCACAGTGTTAGTGACGGGGTGTAAGTGAATGGAATTGATTCTCTTACTGGTCTAGGAAAACCATTTTATTAGCTCCAGTTGATTTTATTTTCAATGTAAATGAGATTTACATTTTTTCTTTATGTGTCGATTGCTAATTGATGTTATTTGTTTTAAAGTAGTTAATACATGTGTTTGAAATAACAGTTCAAAACAAAATTTTAATTGTCACAAGTATTTAATAAGCTACGTGTGATTCTCTCAAAAGTCATGGACCTAACCTAAACCACGATCTCAATTTTGTCAATCAATCAAAACGTTGTTTTTTATGTCTTTTCAAGAAATCAGAAAGGGACCGACAGTAATTTCTGCTTCCTACTTCAGTTCATATTGTCTTCCATATTAACAAGTAACAACATACTGGTTACACTACAAAATTATCAAATAATCCCAAGAAACACCGTAAACGCACACACCGCAACATAAATATCCTCGTACCAACCCTGTCATAAAGTATAACACATAATCGAGACTTAGTCGATAGCTCGGCATTGCTCGGTATACCGCGCAGGCTATTTTCCGCTAGGCTGGCGCTCTGGTCGAACTGTCACCCTGTGGGCTTTGATGTAAAATGATACCTAACGGCATTGTCTCCGGTGTCATCTTCAATCAAAAACACCCCTTTCTATGTAGGCCATACACCTACACACTTCAGCTTCAACGCCCATTGCAGTACTCTAGTTATTTTGTACACTGGCCTCGTTCAATTTGTTTGCATAGGTTGAATTATATTTGATTTACGTACGTATTTTTTTACCTTCGAGAAATATAGGATCCTACTTATAAAGGCATCATTATCAAATTATTCTGCGACCATTTCTAGACGTATACGTGCCACCCAGGCACGCCTTGCACCGCTCAACTGAGGACGGAACCAATCTCATCCGTCATCACACTCCAGATAGTTCATTTATTCAGTTTTTTTTTATTTGGAGCCGTAGAAGACAACGCACATTTTATCGACACGACATCTGTCGATACTATGAGGAAACAAATGAAAAATCAAAGAAGTATTTTATTAATTTTGAAAAGAAATCGCAGAGTTCATGACATAATATTCCGGTGTGGGTGACACCTGCCGGCAGCGGCCATTGACCCATCCCAGAATATAAAGGATATTCTTTAATAATCCCAATGCGTAGACACGGATCCAAAGCCAACTCTATACTGTCCGTACAAAGTAGAAATCGGTTTGCAGGACAAATGATGGAAATCCTCAACTTTTATAGTGAACAGAAAATGTGCTACAAAATTAGAAGACGTTTCTATTTTCTGTTTGAATTGACGCTGCAAGCTAAATAAGTGCCTACTTAAATGAACGAACTCGAAGTAAGAATAATTAAAATTTGGGGTACAATAAACAAAGAAATAAACATTTAATAACATTCAATAAAACATAAAAATTATATATTTTTTTGCCAAAAACAAACACAAAGTGCAAACAAACAACATAAACCTCAGACAATAAACAAACAATAATAATAAAAGACAAACAAAAGTAATTTTATAAACGTTTAGAAATAAAATAAATTAAATACGTAAAACAAAAGTACATAGGCAAGGGGTTCCTTAGTACGGTAGTTATTTAAGTAAGCCATAAACCTGGTTATATGCGTCCCGGCGCCGAGTCCGTCCACATAATCAAATAAACCCTAGTACAAGCAATGGATTTACGACCAACAAAGGGAATCATTCAACTATAATATATAAACGCTTAGGTAGGATCAACTGATATTATTACTTTACTATCGAGACGTTATAATGAAAAAGGTCATTTCCCATAATAATTATTAGGCTATGATTCAGAAAGATGTTCTTCTCCCTCTATATATTTTCTTATTAATAAATAATCGTCTGCTATTTCTTAATACAGCAGAAATTCTTCTATTCTCACATTAGCAGCTTCAACTAGACTTTCCATATTCACTGGGACTTCTGAAATTACAATTACATTTATTAATTCTCTCGAAATGATTATTTAGAAAAGAATAGAAACTGATTAATTGGTGTATCTCATTAAAGAAGCAGCGATTAAAATATTGCACGAAACGTACGTAAATTGACAAAATCTGGATGGTAGCCACTGTCACTGCGAGAAGATTTTACTGCAATTCTCAAAGAATTAACCACAACATGACCAAGGCAGCCTGGAGGTTCACCAACAGCTGTAAATACATATTAACGGATAAAATACCATTCTCTCTTATGGACAGGTTAACACAGCTTAATATCACCTTACCTTTAGATCCCAAAATGCCCACAGGGTTAGGCCTCTTTCGTCTAAAATAAACACGGAAGTCATATGGAATATCTTTAGCTCCTATAATTTTATAAGTCCAAGTCCGATCACTGTATAATTCTCCAGTATGTTCGTTGTACACTATATTTTCGATTAACCACAAGGACATGGCCTGAACAAATGCTCCTTCAACCTACGCGAAAAGGTAAATATTATAAGCATATGAACTGAATTAGTATATTAATAATGTATTGTCAATCCTTTACAAAAACATATTTTACCTGGCCAACATCTATAGCTGGATTCAAACTACGACCAACGTCTTCAAATATATCTGCACGAACAACCCATTTACTTCCAGACAAAATGTCAACTTCTACTTCAGTTACAGCTATTCCAAATATAGAATAATTTACCAATCTGGGATCATTTTGACTTGTTTGGTAATTTGCTTGGAGTAGTACTCCTTGCCTGTCAGCTTCAAACACAATTTCTTGCCACGAAGCTGTAGGTCTTGCTGCTCTAAAAGGGGCCAGTCTCGCTTTGATTTGGTCACAGCATCTTATTACACTGTATGCACAGCATTCGCTAGTTATGCTAGAAGCTGTCGCAAAATTATTTGGAGTAGTAAAGTTATAACAGGGTAAAACTGTTACAGTTTCAACAGGGATGTCAAACTCGGCTGCTGCTACTTGAGCCATTTTTGTGAAAATGCCTTGTCCCATTTCTATACCACCGATATTTACGATAACACTTCCATCACCATGGTATACTGACACGAGAGCACCATAGTTGCCAATGTATGCAGTAGGAAACGCCATGTTATTCATCCTTATTCCCCGTTTCTTCCACCTATTGAGATGATTGAACTCTTTGACATTATTTAAGCGCTCCTTGAAATTGATTCTGTCTAGAAACATAGGTACTAATTTTGGTAAGTCATTGTCTTCTCGTCGATAGTTAGCCATACGTACTTCTATCGGATCTGCATTTAGCTCTTCGGCTATATGGTCCATTATGTGTTCTATTCCAGATATTCCTTCAAAACCACCTGCAAGGGAATCAAAATGGACGAGAGTTAAAAAAAACACAAGAATGTATATCGTAAAAGACTTCATTTTGACTTATACATTTTTACAATACTTACCAGGGGCTCTCATGAAGGTATTGGTTGGAGAATCTGTAATGGCGCCAAAAGAATCACATTTCCATCTACGAGAATCGTAACAATTTTTCAACGATTCTGTAGCATAAGCATTTTGGTTTTCATTACGAGATAGACCGTCATTCAAATAAAATACAGCATCCATGTATTGGATTTCTCCTCTGTCGTCGACTCCCACCTAATTGAACATATTTAATTTTATAAAGTACAGCCTAGAGAAACCTGCTGAGAGAAGTATTACAATAACATTCGTACCTCATAATCAAGTCTGGTATTTGGTCTCTTTCCGGTAGCACGCATAATATTTGTCATCGACATAGACATTCTACATGTTTTATTAAGTTTATTTGCCACTAAAGCCGTGGCACATGCTGCAAAATTGTTTCTGCTGATCTTGCATCCAAAACCACCTCCTAGTCTTCTTGTTTTTACCGTTATCCTGAAATTAAACACTTGTTATACTATGTATAAAGTTTAATTAATTAAATTAATTAAAAACAAAAATTTTTCTTACAAACTCTCGGGAATCTTCAAAAGTTTAGCGATTGCTGCCTGTGTAATATCCAGGTATTGAGCTGACGATATAACGTCATAACCATTATCGACTGGTATTGTAACAGTTGTATGAAGCTCCATCATGTGATGATACTGCAATGGACTGATAAATGTTCCTTTAATAATCTTCCTGACATTGGCTCCTCTATCAGTTGGTACTATTCCTGGATATGGAATAAGTCTGTTTTCCTCTTTTGGCGCATGTATTGCATCTTCAATAGTAAAAATGAGTGGTCTTTTTGGAACATTCCTATAGTTTACTTTTACTACTTGGGCCATTTTGTCAGCCAGTTCTTGAGACGTTGCAACGACGATAGCAACTGGTTGATTATAAAAATTTACCTTGGTACTAACTAAAAGTTCTTCATTTTCAAACATTAGGAGAAAATCTCCGCGAAGTATGCTATTTACACCTGGTATGTCTACAGATGTTAGCACTGCTAATACACCGTCCACTTTCTAAAAGACGATATTTACATAATTAAAATTTAGAAGAGAATTTAACATATATGTATATCTAGCTTCTGCCCGCGACTTCGTACGCGCAATCCCGATATTTCCCGTACCCGTTCTTGATTTTCGGTTAAAAGTAAAAAGATAAGTATTGGGTAAAAAGTATCCTATGTCCGTCTCCTGGTTCTAAGCTACATCCTCACCAATTTTCATCCAAATCGATATAGCCGTTCTTGAGTTATAAATAGTGTAACTAACACGACTTTCTTTTATATATATAGATGGTCATTAAATATAACTTACCATGACTTCAGAACTATCAATACTTTCAATATCTCCTCTTGCTACCGTAGAGAGCACAAAAGCTGCAAAGACTTCATCTTTGATAGTGGGTATATCGTCACAATACTCAGCTTCGCCTGCACATTGAATCATTCCTTCCTTCTTTAGTAATGGTTGTGTTATAGGATAGTCTTTCTTATCCGTGTCATATTCTTGATAGCTACGGCTGACTGGCGGTCTGTCATCACTAGGGGTTGTAGCTCCTGACTTATAGATCGGGTTCAGTATGTCTTTTGGGCATAACTTTATAATACACTGTTGAAACAAAAATATTTTAACTGCTGCAACGAACTTGAACATTGATTTGCATAATTAATGTTCGAAAACAACGAATTTGTCTTATAACCACCATATTACAAATAGCATATTTAAATTTATTTAGATTTTTACATACCTTATAGAAAAGTCCAAGAGCCACTTTCTTCCGAACACACGGCGGTGGATACGGTGGTCGGATACTGGGATCTATTTCTCGTTCCAAGATATGCAGAGCAGATTGTAGGACGTTGTTATTAAATATATTACGTCCAATTAAAAACCTTTCCGTCTCATAAGCGTGGGTGAATGATGGATTAATATTACCATACACAATAGACGCTTCTTCAACAAGATGTGTATGAGAGTTGAATTTCAAAAGAAAGCCAGAATTTACGTCTGCCTGAGCATTTTGTTCTCTCGGCGTAATCTAGAAGCGAATGTTCACGTTTAGCCATGTTTATTTATCTCATAAGCATTTTCGCTATCCAGATAAGTATTGAATTGCCAAAAAAATCTTAGAGTATAACATATAAAGGTTTGATGTTATTAGAATTCTGTGCCAGGTTTTTATTGTCTTATATATACCTCTAATATATAATATATAATAACTTAAGTTTGCTTTAATCGTGGGTACACGCGACTGAGCATAGGTACACGAATCGAATAAAATATTTGTACTTTCGGGATTGGCACCAGAAACTCGTTCCCTGATAGTCACGTGACTATTTAGGCAACAAGACAGTCGAGGTTAGCTTGAGAAAAATATGTTGAAATTATTGCGCTTACCTTATAAGTCACTAATTCATAGTGACGAGACAAAGGACGCAGTTTTATCTGTGTCATAACTTTCCCTTTAAGATTTGTCGTCAAAAATTCCGGCAAATTCATATCAGTCTGTCTCATATCACGGTCCACTAGTATTACAAAATTAAAAGTTAATATATAAGTATTTTGTTTTCAGCAATTCTCTTTGTAAAATAATAAATATCATAATCTTACCTAATGTTACCATAGCCCCAACACAGTCCAATAAAAGAAAAATATCTGATTGAAAACTTGGGTCCGAATTTTTTAATACCAAATTGCCGGCTAAAGTCCCAATCTAGAATTAAAACAGAATTTGGTATAATAATATACCTGTTAAAATATTATCCCCTAAACTTTTTCATACAGAAGTGGTCTCTAAACATCGGAAATAAGGTCTATAATGTAACTAGTGGGGATGTATGGGTGTAGATACATTTGAATAAATCCAACTTAGCAGCTCAGCAGTTTGTATTTAAAGTTACTTTTGCATTAACTCGTTAATAGCGAAAATATACTCACATTTCGCACCGGTATGTGAGCCACTTTATCCATATGCTCATACAATATGTGCAGGTACCAGAAATCCTCATTGGATTGAGCCAACTCCTTGAATAAGTGCATCGTATCAGTCAATGTCATGTTAGCTCCAAGTACTAAGTTCACATCTATGTAGTGAGTCGCCAATTCCTTTACATCGCTTATATCTATCAATAACTTCGGATAAAATAACATTGGACGGACTCCTGGAAGGAAATAAGAGTATTCTTTTAATGTATCAATCTATGTCTATATGTGATTAAGATTATAAATAAATCACTTAAAAACAAACTTGACTGCCTCGTTGGCCGAGTGGTTGCAATTGCGACTGCAGCAAGGTCAAGCAACTGCAAGGGGTATCGGGTTCGATTCCCGGGTCGGGCAAAGTATTACTGAGTTTTTAAAAATCTCCGTAGTAGCACGGAGTCTGGGAATAGGCTCACCACCTATTACATGGGACTCATAACATAATAGTGAAAAGTGGGTGTTACATTGTACAGTGGCATTAAGTGCCATAATGTGCACCTCTTCTTCTGCCTACCCCTTCGAGGAAAAAAGGCGTGATGTTATGTTATGTTATTTTGAAATTGTTTACTTTGAAAGTTATGAACAGATGTAATAATACCGCCGAACGATACCTACTAAAGTAATTCGAAATTACCTTTTGCGGTGTTACCAGCGACGAGCATATAAGACTCATGCCCAACATCGTCCAAAACAGCAAATATTGATCTTATATCGCTAACGGAGAACCACAACCGTCCATCGGCGAGACATATTTTCTTAGGCAAATCCGAAGCACTCGTATTATTCATATTTACTAAACACCATTCCTCATTTATCCCACATGTGCCTCCACACGTTTTACCGGATTTCGGGCATATTTGTTCAGATATATCTTCAATATCTTTTATCTTCTTCAATATATTTGCGTCTGGATGGACGGCAAAAGATTTGAATGCTTCTAAAATGGGACGGTAGCCTGTACACCTACAAAGGTTGCTACCGAAAGAGTTTTCTATTTCTGCTTCAGTTAGATGGCGGTCACTGCCCTGTGCGAGGCTGGAAGTTTAGAAAATGTATATAATTGCTTTAACCGCTTGAATGCCTGTATATAAGACACAATAGAAAATACATTGTGTCTCGCGTAAATCCACGTTTAGACACACGACGGGTTAATAAAATTAACTACTATACCTCTAAAATGTGAATTATAAAAGATAAATGTCGATTACCCGCAATAGTTCTTTATTAGTTAACCTTTATAATACACTAGCTACTTCCGCGCGGATTCACACACTCTGCTCAGCTTCTATTGCCTGTAGCGTGATGTTTTATAATCTATAGCTATTCTCGATAAATGCGCTACCCAAAACAAAAAGAATTATTCAAATCAGACTTGTAGTTACGGAGATTAGAGCGTTCAAATAAACAAACAAAAAACAAACTCTTCCGCTTTATATAATAGTATAAAATAAAATATTGCAACAAATAATATAATATCGCAATACGTATTGTAACAATTTTTTTCTAAAAAAAATATGAATTAAAATGAAACACTTCACTAAATAAAATGTATTGATCTAATGAAACTCTGAATTAATCATTTATTCAAAGTCTTTATTCAATAGCATTACCTGTACATGCTCATCACAAACCCTGGACTGCAGTAACCACATTGGGACCCAAAGAAATGGTTGAGTCGTTTCTGAATGATGTTGTAGCCAATCTTTCTGTTGCCAATACCTTCTATAGTCGTTATGTCCCAACCATCGCATGACATGATAGAAACAAGACACTGAAAATAAAAAGAATTATAATAATGTTTTAAGTAAATATAAACCTTATTAATGTGTTATTAAAGTTCTTACAGAATTAACGGAAAACGTGGTATATTCTTGTGTACCAGCTGCATGAGCTCTGACGTTGACCACACAGACGCCGCATCCACCTTCCTTGCACATGTACTTCGTGCCACGAAGCTCCCCATATTGCCGAATGTACTGGTTCAATGTCAAGTCCACTGTGAACTCGGAACCCGCTGCATCAGAAAGTAAGTATATTTATACTACACTAATCACTAGACCAAATTTTAAAAATAAAGACAACACTAAAATGAATTCCCGGAAGCAAAAATACAATTTATTTCAAAAATAATCGTCGACCACTGACCGCTACATTTTCTTCCATTTATTGTGAAAAACACTCGATCTTTTGTCACTGCGAGGTCCATTTTGATAGGAACTGCTCCCACTCAAGACCCAAATTCTGTATTCATGTATTGCTAAAACAGAACTTATGCACTAGACACTTCAAATGTAACTGATTTAATAATAACATTAGAGACTACCTGCGTAAAACTCACGATTTTTCCTGTCTACAATTAGTTAGTGCATTATCTGATAATAAGCATCAGTTTTTTAATTGTTCATTCGATGTATGCAACAAGACTGATGAACCATGTCCATTTTTTTTTCAAACGTCGAGCATGACGTGTGTAATTGTTGCAATACCTGCATACGCATCCGCAGAAACAATAAACATACTGTTTATTAAGTCATTATAAAAATCATAGCTATTCCAAACCTAATTACTGTTAAATTATAATGATTTTTATCTTTATTTAATTTTTTAGGGGCGCCACATATGCTCACACTCGCATTGACCGTCACGAGCTGTGAGCGATTAGCAGTATTTATGGTCGTGTCGACACGTAAGAAAAAATGCGGAGTTTGGTTACTGTACCATGGGTTTTAAATAAAATCACTGCGGCCAATCAGATTGTGAGCATATGCAAAGTTCCTAATTATCACCTATAGTTAAAAAAAAGATTTAACAGCTCGAAGTTTAAAATCCTAACCAGTTTGGCTATTATGTAACTGTCAATTCAAATTTTCATAGTGAGCTCGATAGCATTCTCGCCCGTCATTGGTCAAGATTATTTTCACAACCAATGACATGACAGACCGCGATTAAATTCACGTAGGCCGTGCGCAATATTTATTATAATCAGCGCCGGTTTGCCACCTCCATATAAGTACCTGATAAACTTATGTGACAGATAGTTCATACAAATTCTGTTCTTAATTCGAATTTATCTGGGAGTTAGCGGCTATCCAGTATTGTGAAACAGGCCTTAACTATTATAATGGTGTTGCATGGGACTCATGTCATAACTCATAATTTAACAAACCTACTTATCTTTACGGATAATAATGGGAGTAATGAATACAATAAAAAGTATTCTAAATTATATTTATTATAAAAAGTAACAGATAAAATAAAAATGAAAAAAATATATACACTCCAGTGAAGTGAGATATTCAGCTTTACTGAGCTCTCCAATTGCTGCGAGCCAGTTTAATTAATTCATCTCAAGTAAAGATGTTTCTTTTATTGTTTTCCTACCACTTACCAACGAGGATAGAAAGTACATTCATTAATTAAAAACTGTACAAACTCATGTTGTGTCTAACGTCCCATTAATTAAATGCCAACTTGTCTCATATAATTTGTCTTTTTTCAAGCAATTTATAATAAGCACCAACAATATATAAATTACACGTTGTGGTGGTCCAGGAGGTTTAAGACGCCCGCTTCTTATGCATGAGGATGAGAGTGCGGGTTTGAAACCGTCCAACGGCATGTACCAATGTGACTTTTTCCGAGTCATATGTAGGTACTTTCTAAGATTATTTTAGACACCACTGATAAACGGGGAGAGAATACATCGTGAAGAAACTTGAGTTTATAATTTCTAAGTTTCTAATTATAAGTTTGAAATCGCCAACTCCCATTGAGCAAGCGTGATGATTAATACTCAATCCTTCGCCGTGCGAGCAGAGGCCTGTGGTCAGCAGTGGACACTTATAGGATGTTGATGATGAAGATGATAATGATATAAATTCCTTGTTGATCTCAGCATTCCCACATTATGCATATTATCATCAATGGTACCATTTCATGCGTTACGTGATTCAAGACTATTAATAAAACATTTATTATGCAGGTAGACAGCTAGCGCCTTGTGAATCAAACCAACCTGGTAAATAATGCAGCGTATCTTAGTGCACACGTATTACGGAATCCAGATTCCCCCGCATCGAATCCTGGCTGAGCAGCTACCGACAGTGAATATTAACAGAAGGATTATCTCATACGAAGTTGGCGCCGTGTGCTTCCACTAATATCTCTACTACGTGTTTACACTGGGACACGCGAATTAGACGGTATTATATCCGTTACCATGGTGATTAGGCAGCTCACTACATCTTCGATGGTAAGCCAGTTCCGCCGCTTATTAATAAAGTTATGTGTAATTAAGCGAATTAGTAACTACATTGTGTGGTTCATCGACATACAGAAATTGTCGTGACCCGATAGTTAAGGCAATTTCTGCAAATTTAGTACCTACAAGTTAGTCGGCCAATTGATACCAATTGATATTATAGAACTATAATGATTAATCGTGGCACTTGGAACCAATAATGAATATATGCCATGAAAATGAGCTTGCTTTGAAGCACCATTTCCTTACGAGTACCAAAATTTTAAGTAAGTATCATCTTTCTTCAACTTCAGTTTAACGTATCAAATACAGAACAAAAATAATCAGGGAACCATGACTAAAACTATAATGATCAAATGTAAAAGGAACCGCAGAAAGCCTCATTTCAAATGAATTAGTACACAATAAAAAAGTAATAAATGATCAGTACACCCGTAGTAGTGGCCTGATTTAGCAAGACACCAGAGATTTAACTAGTAATTGCCCTGTTGAATATTCAAAGCCGTATGCCTGATGATCGCCAGCCGCAAGACTTGGTTACATGCCCTTGATTAGTACACCTAACTATGTTTCACAGTCGAACAAATAGACGTCAGAATTATTATTTTATGTCTTATATCCTGACTATAAAGACTAAAGTTTATTGTTTCTGGAAATCCGTTAACACTGAAAAGATTAATACTATTACAAAGCATAACGTTTTGCTGCCATTGTGCGTGAAATTGCTAATATTGCAAGTCAGTAGATAACTCTATGACACGTAAAATGAAACCCCTGTGTAGAATCTGAACTCCCAGCGTGTTCTCACGTAAAAATGGAGAAGGCATCTTTAATTAAAAAAGTTTTCGGTACGTTTGTTGCGTCTTAACGGCTAAACTACTAAACCGGCTTCCTAGCAAAGGAACATAGGTCAGTTAGGAAGACTTTTTAAGAGTTAATTGAAAACTTTTCACGTACCCAGAAACCTGGTAGTTGCTCCTCCAACAGTTTTTCTATAGAACTTAAAAATTGAAATTTATACCTCTGTACCTACGGTATTTCTCAGAGAAATAAATCACTGTTCGACTTTATGGAAAGTTTTACGATAAGTTTTCTTATTTGTTATAATATTATTTTAAAAATTTTAGCCCAAGCTGTCATGACGCGTTAGACGATCGTGTAACTTCTCTCGAAACAGCTAGATTTTTCTGAGATAAACGTTAACTGAATTATGATTATGACATGGCTCGTTTTCGTCAGACTTTATTAAATTAACTCTTTTCTTTTGTAATTTAATAAACCATTTTAAATAAAAATACTTTCATAAGTAAACAGACAGCAAAGGCCGACCTGTGTATTTTAATTACTGAACAGACACACGAACCCGTACAATTGCAGTGGAGATATGAATAACCACAGAGAGTAAAATAATTTGCTCGATGAATTCGGAGAAGTCTAGTTTAATCTGATTGAATTTCACTTCGAACTGACCGATATAATTTTAATTAACTTTTACGTACAGCTGTCTGTTTTTAATATTAAAATACGTTTACCACATTTTACTACATTCGTATACAACATACAACATTTTTTACAATTTTTGTCCGTCTGTTTGTACTGACTATTCTCTGGAATGGCTGGACCGATTTTGGAAGACTTTTATTAGCAGGTAGCTGATGTACTAAGGAGTAACATAGGCTTACTCTTAGGCCTATGACATCTTGGCATATTGGAAAATTGAAACAAAAAAGGGTAAGTTCTAAAATACATATTCTATGTAGTCGCAATAGCTAGTATATAACAATCAATATTATACTTGATTTTCCCTAAAGAGTTAATAAGCGTTTATTTTTAAACCTTCAGCCAAATCTCCCGGTTGTAGAAAGCTGAAATTTGACATTTTAATTCCGTAAGAAGGGTGGAAGAGCACTAAGAGAATAATTGCTCAAATTCTTATAGTAACAAAGGGAAAAATGGCATTAATATGCACGTACGAATTCATGGGTAAAAGCTAGTAAGTTGTAAAAGTACGTGGGAAAGTAAGTCTCAAGTCCGTGCACGTAATTAATTAGATGATGTGCCGGTCTATTGTTAATACCTTCGATCTTCAGGGAGCTACGTGGCTGAGGATTCCTGTTCCTTAATAAACAACGTGGTTCGCTTAACTGGCTGGAAAACTTATCATGATTGTTGAATCGTGTTGTGAACGTGACCAGAAATAAATAAGTAACATTTTTTATTTCATTCCAGTAACAAAAAGTAAACGGATTTTATTTTTTACTAGCTTCTACCCGCGACTTCGTACGCGTAATCCCGTTTTCTCCCGTTCCCATAAGATTTTCAGCTTTTTTTTTCTATCATAAGAACCTTCTTCTGACAATAACAAACAAAACAAAAAAAATCAGCCAAATCGGTCCAGCCATTCTCAAGTTATGGCGTGACAATGGGAAACGGGTTTCATTTTTATATATATAGATGTCGTTCTGGGAATGGTTTTTTAATTCCTATTTTTCAATCTATGACAGTTGCGGTATTACTAATTCATCATCATCAATAGCTTATAAGTGGCCACTGTTGGCCAAAGGCCTCTTCCCGCTTGAAAAAGGTTTGAGCATTAATTACCACGCTTTCTCAATGCAGGTTGGCGATTTCAAACTTATAATTAGAAATTATAAGCCCAGGTTACCTAACAATATTTTTCTCCACCGTTTGTCAGTGATGTCTTGATAATCTTAAAAATTACATATAATTTGGAAATAGTCACATTGGTACTTGCCGTTGGTAGGTTTTAAAGCACACTTTCATGCAAGAGAAGCATGAAACCCTTGGGAAGTTGGGATGCAGTATTTAACTCGTCGAGTACCGGTTTTGTAGACACAATTATAGAACAATAGGTTGCGGTCACCGGTGACCGCTTGGTGTTTGACAGTTTAAGTGGTAGTTGCTAGGGTATCAAAATTAAAAATCTAGTTAGTCCGTCAGTTAGATAAATTGATAATTTCTTGTATTAAGTTGCAATACTTAGATAAAATGGCGCTAAGTTTGGGAGTGGGAGATCGTTACGTCATAACGTGCTACAAAATGTAGCACGCTGTATTAATCTGATATATTTCAGATTAATATATCGTTGAAAGTATTTAATTTTGTGAGAAAAGAAAAAGTACGTGTCTAAAGTATTTAATTAATGTACCAGACGGACATAAAAAAAATATATAGTAAACTTCCCTATAACGTACCCTCATTATTAAAATCACTTCGAAACTGACCATAACTTATTTAATCTTATACAAGGTGTTGTTTTAAAGCCGCGTCATTTTCTAGGAGGTAACTCGGCTATCGATTCTGAGTTCGAATCAATAAAAACAATTGTAGGTAAATATTTTTCATTTTTCTGAAATTACGGAAATCCGTAAGTGCGAATTACACCCCGCCGTCTTGTTACTAGCTTTATAACGCGGCTTAACACACACAAACTCAAACACGTAATTGATATTATTACTAATTCCATAAAACTCCAATAAGAAAGATTGTTGACGTTTATTCTGAAATACTGTCGAACTAAAACGATTTATTATAGCCGTATTTTAAACTATTGGCCCGAAATTTTGTCTTACATTGAACCTTTATGACTTTTGTGCCCCTGAGAAATGACACGGTTTCAAAACTACACCTTGTATAATACATTGACATCATACCCTATATACAAATGTACTCTGTGATTGACATTGTTTATCACAGGAACATCGAACATATTATAAATTGTTGTTAATTCGTTACTATAAATAAAAATGAGTTAATAACATTGCACATCAGTACAATATCCCGGATACTTTATTCTGATCACAGCCGGCCGGGATACGCAACGGTATTCAATTTACACAAAGTGGAAGAAATCGCAAGGCTTTACTAATTACTAAGCGTTGTGTTTTTCCGTTCACTTACCGTAATTGCTTACCTACATGTTACCTAATAAACATTTGTTCGAATTATAAGGCACACTACCTATTAGAGAATTTCCTTTTGCTTTATTTTTATGCTTAGAAAATTATTACCATAAAGTAACTAGACTAAGTAGAATTATGTGTAGGTTTTTATTTAATTAAATCATGCATGAATAAATATAGATTAACTATAACACTTCGACATCATTAAGTGAATAGAGGAAGTAAATTCATTACATAACATAACATCACGCCTTTCATCCCCGAAGGGGTAGGCAGGGGTGCACATTACGGCACTTAATGCCCCAGTGCAATGTTACACCCACTTTTCACCACTTATGTTACGAGTCCTATGTAATAGGGTGTGAGCCTATTGCCATACATTTCCAGACTCCGTGCTACTACTGTAAATTTTTTAAAAACCCAGTAATACTTTTCCCGACACGGGAATCGAAGCCGAGACTGTAAAAACTTAATTAAAGCAACCTACATTAATATATTTTTCTGTGTTGCAAGAAGGACCACCTTAAAATTTATTTCCATCATTCGTCCAAACAGCTTCCAAGATCACAATCGACAGTTCCATAAGCTGTGCGCCTAACAAACGAGTTCATTCCACGGAATTACTCCACTGGATTAAAAACTCCAAATATTCTGCGAGACTGTAAATTTTATGTCTTCTTCCAAAGTTACGCAGGTACTTACGTAGACAGGTAATAAAGATACCTTCGTGTCACTGGATAAACTTATATTACTCGAGTGTTGGAACCTCTTGTAAGGAATTCCACGCTCCGCTACTCGCCCAACTTTGAGGCTCTCAACTAAATTAGGGTACGTTATTGTTCATAACATCAATATATGAGCAATATCTGCTAGTAAGTTTTTGTTATGCTGCTTTATATGATATTCGGAAGAAAAATTATGCGCCGGGATCTTATCCATCAAGTGTCCCAAAATATTCTCGCAATTTTCTGCCAAGATATATTGTTATGATACATGGAGATATGAAAAATTCCATCAAACTTTAAATGCCAAACGTTAATATGTATCAGACAAATAATAATGAACGGCGAACCTCTTTTAAATTATGTACTCACCGATTCTTATAAATAACTACTTATAGTACTGGAAATCGAATGCAAATATAATATACAGAATATCTGGTAATATTTATATTTGATGTTGAAAATTAATAATCTTATTTACAAAAAATTTTCACTTCTTGCCTTTTTTGTCTCCGCCTTTTTGTTGCTTTACTGCGACTTTGTCAGGAGCCACTTCATCAATAGGATCTACCTTTACATCATCAAATTTGAAAGTTGGAAATGTGGTCATGTCCACACCGGCACCACCTCCTAATTGCTGTTCTAACTTCTCGAGTTCTTTCTTCATTTCTTTCAAGATAGTTGGACTGGGATCTACTAATTTACCATCGGCGGACTTTTGCGCATACTCTCGTATTTTGTCCACAAATAACTGCTGAACTGGATCTGTAGCAGTTCCCTTGTCTCTAGTTACAACAAAACGCATAATCGACCATCTTATTCCCATGTTAATTTTAGAACTTAGCATGTTTTTGTATTTCACACTGTTTAGGTGACCCTTCCGTATGACAGGTTTCATGACATCTGACAGCTAAAGACCTCACAGATTAGCGATTAAACATGACATTCATTATCTCTCAAGGCGCGTAAGAGGTTTTTTATAAATCATTTAGTAAAAAGTAAAACACGTTGTTGGTTTTTGGTTTGGATGACAAGTTTAAAGATGGCAACACACATATGAATTATTGCGACCCAAATCTCCATAACGAGTGTGTTGGTAAGTTTTAAGCTGATATTTTCCCTATACTTATTAGACTCTTTGGCTGATATCAAGGACGTTGATGTCAATGTCACTTAGAAATGATTAAAGCACCAAGATGGTGGCAGGACCGGAATTTGTGAAGTATGATGACGGGCCAGCAGCTGTAGCCAAATGCCAGTTAGCGCTTGTCTACATGTAGAATAGAAAACCAAATTATATGGAATTGACGTTAATTTTGACACTTGTCAGTATCATCCCCATACATTTTGATTTCTACTCTCTCGGTAGACAAGCGCTAAAATGGTATTTGGCTACAGGCACTGGTCACGTGACAGATGTCCTTCGTGTCAATGTGTGTGCACTCTATGTGTAAGTCTATAGTAGCCAGGTACCACAGTCATTGTTTCAAGAGACTACGCCTGCCTATTTTTACCGACTTCAAAAAAAGGAGTAGGTACTTTGTTCGACTGATTGTTTTTTTTGCGATTACTTCGCCATTTGTGAACCGATTTCCAAAAATCTTGTTTTGTTTGAAAAGGTATACTCTCAAGACGGTCTAATTTGCATGCGGTCAGGATCTGATGATGGAATCCTAGGAAAAACGAGGGGCACTTTCGAGAATTGTAGGGGCAAGTAAGGCGTCTAGTATGTTTTACAATTAGGGTTTTTAAAGACTACGAGTTGATAATTAATAACGTCCTTGGTTGATACACTATGATTTGTTGGTATAATTCTGTCACATTTCATTGAACAATAAATAATCGCAGTTCGAGTTGCGTGACGTTGAGTAGCGTAGCTGGCGTATAGTTTGAATAGTGTTTCCTGTTTTACTTGTACTTCAGCATAATTAAGAATCGAATAATAATTATTTCAAGCAAAACACGACTAAATCGTATATACTTTATGTCTATAATTAAGTTAATTGTACCAATGGATATGCATTATTATCAATTTTTATTTAATTAAATGAATACAGTTTATGTTATTACCTACAATAAATAAAACACGGGCAATCAAATTAAATTAATTGTTGCATGAACAAGCATGTCAATAGGAAACGTATAAACTTAGATAGGTATTTGGTATAGGTACATCTTCTACACAAAACAAATTATTATTAGTATAGAAGTATTATTTCTAAACAAGCACACATTGCAACGCCAAAATATAAGGCACTGCGAATTTTTGTTAATAAAAAAGTTTAGAAATAGTTATAAATCCTGGCATAGGAATCGTACTCTAGAATCCTAACTTGGTCTATATTAGTAGTCAAAATCAAACACTAAACTCAGTTCCAGTTACATCTGTATAAATGCAAATGATTTTCCGTTTGTTAGTCTCGATAAAACTCGAGAACGGCTGAACCGATTTGGATAATTTTGGTCTTTAAATGTTAGCCGAAGTCCAGGGAAGGTTTACAAAGTGAGAAAAAAATTATAGGCATTACGGTAACGCTACGCTAAGTTTTCCGGGTGCAGCTAGTAAAATCGTAGGAAAGTGAAAAATGTACATCGAATATGTTTTTAAAAGAATGCTTTGGGTGTGATCTAAAATGGATACCGAAACCAAAAAAATTGTGGTAATACTGTTAGGAGTTGAGGAATAACAGTTTTTAAGAACCTATAAAAGCAAACTTCACACCATTGTCAGGCTCATTTTGTCGGGTGTCGTTGCGGCGGTTACATCGCTCAAGGATCGTGAGACTTATATTTTTCTAATTTTTGTACTTTCTTGTTATTTCTTGATTATTTATGTGCTAATTTAATGTGTGGTGATTTGCGGTAGATAAGGTTATTTTTCGTGATTGTTATTTTGTTCCTTAATTAAAATTAAAGAGTTGTATCATTTTGATTCTGTGTTGCGTTGTTTTTTTTTAAATATCCAGACTTCTGATTCCTAAAATCAGAAGTGGGATAAAGAACAGCTTTAATTGCCCACTAAATTACTAGTAAAAACATACAAGGAACAAAATATCAAAATATTTTTCTACCCGCAATTTTTACTTTTGGTTTTCTTTTATCATTGTGATATCTTACGTGTGTGATTGTGATTTAATTTCAAATCATTGTGCCTATCATGCCAAGAAGCCATGAACGTCGTCGTTCACGAGGCCGATCTCAACGCGTTTCGCGAGACGAGTCCACTGGCAGTGAAACCGAATGTAGGTCGCGCCGTAAATCACGACGGAACCGCCGTCGGGAACGTAACGACTCCGAGGAAAGCTCGTATTATCGCCACCACGAGGCTCGCGGCCGCCGCCGTTCTAGATCTCGATCTCCACATACACCCCCTCGTGCAAGGTATCCTTCAGTGACTCCACGTACCAATAACTTGTTACAAGACACTCTCAGTAATATTATGACAAGGCTTGATGCTATCGAGCATAACGGTGTAAACGCGAGGTCCACGCCTAATAATTTGCCAAATTCTCGCACTGAAGGGAACCTGCAGAACGCGATTCGTGAAGCCGCTTCGCGTTCGCGTAGTCCCGTCGACTTGAGCGATGTTCCGCAACGAGTTCGCGTTAATAATTCCGAGGGCTCCTCAACGACAGTTCATGCGGACAACCCAAGCGCTTGCGGATCCGAAGCCGTGTCCACCGTAACCATGCTCGCAGAAGCTTTGAGATCTTTACAGCCTACTAGGTCGCACAACTATTACGTATCAAATTTCGATCCGAACATACACGATATTGATGCATGGTGCGAGGAAGTGGATCGAGCAGCGGTCGCGAACGGTTGGAGGGACCATGAATGTTTGTCGCGAGTAGCTTCCTGCCTTAAAGGCGACGCTAAAGTTTGGCTCAATGAATGGGTCACCAATGACCGAACGTGGTCAAATTTTAAGCTTGAGTTTAAACCCCTTTGTCCCCGGAAGTTAGATTAAGCAAATATTTTATTCGAAACAATGAACACGACATCCGACAAATACACGACATATGCGGAATATGCTCGCCGTACCTTGTTACGCTTAAGGATAGTCAAGGGTCTTAGCGATGAGTTGCGAACTCTAATCGTCATACGCGGTATTGATAACCCACAAATTAGAGCAGCCGCGGCAAACGCAAACCTGGCAACTGAAGATTTAGTCTCGTTCCTTTCAATTTACGTGAAACCGAATCGCGCTAAACCTGATTCTCGTGGTACCGCAACAAATAAACATTCGTCTTCGAACTCATCCACTGAGCGCGGACCCAAGTGTTACATATGCAACCAGCGTGGACATTTAGGTCGCAATTGTACCAAAAAGACTCGCAAAGAACCCAGTGATAGATCTACCATAAAATCCGGGACACAAGGTCCTATCAACGATACCACTGCCACTAACAAATCCGAATTACTGTGCTCGTTTTGTAAGAAAAAGGGGCATACAGAAGAAAAGTGCTTCGCTAAGAACCGTTCAGAACAAAGGAATCAGCGAAATGTTAACTTGTGCGCAAGTCACGCAAATAACAAGACAGATATTGTAACGGCCGTCGTCCAAGGCATCCCCATGGACGCGCTTATAGATAGTGGAGCCCAAAAAGTATCACTGATTTCTTCCGATGTTCTGAAGCACCTTTCTTGCCAAGTTAAACCAATACACTGCGTTCTCAAGGGTATAAGCGAGCGGGAAATCGTAGCTTCTTCGTTCATTACGGCAACTATCGAGCTTAGTGACATCTCTATAGAAACTGACCTAGTTGTAGTGCCAAAGTCATGTATGAACACTCCCCTTATTATTGGAACAGACGTCCTTAACCGCGACGGCGTAACGTATGTACGCACTAAAGACAGACAGTACATCACTCGAACTAGCGACACTCCTGCTTGCGTGAACGAAGTTCTGCGTCTTGACCAAACGTTAGTTAATACCCCTTTGCAAGGCGCTCTGCATGATTCCCTGATGTCCGTGATTAACAAATTTTCAAACTTTCTTATAACTGGTACCGCGACGAGTACAGTTACAACCGGTTACATGGAGATTAAGCTAACTAATACCACTCCTATCGTATATCGACCGTACAAGCTTTCTTATAACGAGAAACTTGTAGTACGCGAAATAATTAGAGATCTGTTGGACAAAGGCATCATCAGGGAATCACGATCAGAGTATGCCAGCCCCATAATACTAGTGAAGAAGAAGGACGGGTCCGACCGAATGTGCGTCGACTATAGGGCACTTAATCGTATCACTGAAAAGGAAAGATATCCTCTTCCCCTTATAGACGACCACATTGATCGGTTGGGTCGCTACACCTTCTTCAGCAGTTTAGACATGGCTACTGGTTTTCACCAGATTCGAATCAAAGAGAGCTCCGTTCACGTGACGGGATTCGTCACACCAGAAGGACATTACGAATTCCTGAAAATGCCATATGGTTTGACGAACTCCCCGATCGTATACCAACGGATAATAAATCAAACCCTTCGCGAATTAATCGATGCCGGAAACGCGCTAGTATATATCGATGACGTCCTCTTGCTAAGTAACACCGCAGAGGATGGCATCGCTTTGCTCGAGAGAGTTCTAAAAACACTCACTAAGTCAGGCTTTTCGATAAACTTAAAGAAATGCTCTTTCTTGACAACCGAAGTCGAATACTTGGGCAGGTCGATAAGTTTTGGTCAGGTACGACCGAGCCTTAGGAAAATAGTGGCATTAAAAAACTCCCCAGCTCCTAAAAATGTAAGGCAGGTTCGACAATTATTAGGTCTGGCAGGATACTTACGCAAATATATTAA